CCGCTGCCAGCTCGGCAAGTCTGGGTGTGTGCCACACAGAGCTTCCTTAGCTATCCCAGACACCTGAACTAGCACAGGAGAAGAGGGGGGAAAACAGGGGAGAAAACAGGGATAGCACGGTGGGGGAGAGAGCTCGGTTCAATAGCCAGCAAACAGCCACTGCAGCTGTTGTGGCCTTTCTCACAACGATTCCACTGTTCAGCCTTCCAGCACAGCACTAATTAAAACTGTGCCCATCCCTCCGCTTGCCAGAACTTTCGTTTTACACATACATTTAGGGCACATGCAATCAGAAAAATGCTCTCTCAGACTCATATGGCATCCCCAAATCTACACAGTCTTTGCCCCCTCACAGCATATTACCAGTTTGTTTCAAGTTTGTAGTTGAGAGTAAAGCATGCCTGGAAGATGTGGGATATAAAAGGTAAACAAAAAGCGTGAAGAAGATTAAAAAATTAGGAGTATTGCAGTACTGGATCAAACTTGTCTAATGCGATTGTGACTTGTCATCCTTCCTACTTTACTTTCACTGTTTTTCTCTCCTGTCATTGTTAGTTATGTATCTGTTTTGTCAGACTTGCCTGTTATAAAAACAAAACAAAATAGTGATGAAAAATTCTTCATTCCTTGCTCCCAAAATGAGTTAATCCCTTTGGTTCCCCAGGTTAAAAGATAGACTGTATATAAAAGAAAGAAGACACCCTTTTTGTGACCACACCCACATTATTAAATATTTGTATTAGCCATATTTGCATCAAATATCATTAGTTCTGGATCAAAATGTATCGCAGAACTGGATTTTCTCAACTGTGATATCGCTTCCTTTAGGTCGGTGATTTCCCAACTGTTGGCAGGGGGCCCCCTTGTGTGCTGCAAAGGTACTGCAGGAGGGCTGCAGTAATAACAGAAATTGAGTTTGAAATTACTCTAAAGTTACACATTTATATGCATCTATTTATTTACATAAGAAGTGAATTAAATCTGGAAACAAGAGGTGGTTAGCTTATAGATATATTACTCTTTACTTTGACTTAAATTTACCACTCTTGTATTGAAGTTTGTGTCCCAATGGTCTTCGGGTCACACATTTGGCTTAACACTTAGCATATGATTGGGTAGCATTAGCAATTTACAGCCAACAGCCTGTGCTGTTTATGCTTTTTGAATAAAAATATCAAGGTTTGTTATGTCACATTCTTTTGTATTTTTATTAGAGTGAAAATTTACAATTGTGTGGGCCCCATTGGGATTGGTTGTTAAGCGGACCGCAGCACTCTTGACTTTAGGAATTGCTGCTTTAGCGGCATCTTTAATTTAAATATATGGCAATTAAAAATAGCTTGTCGTGTAGTCAATTGCTCTGACAGCATGTTTAAAAACACTATGCTCCAGTTTTTTATCAGGTGTGTGCATGATCCACTCATATAGTTATCTGCTAACCACATCTGCTAACCAAGCTAGCTAGCTTTGCTGATCTATAGAAGTCCAACTCGGGTACAGGTTGAACTGGTGACCCTTTGTGCCACAAGGCTATTGGAACAGTCGAGGTTTGAGCCTGTGGCTCTGTGCTCCCCTACACAGCAACAGGCTCATTATAAAGGCCCCCCAAATATTTGTTAAAACACAATATGGTTACTTCTGGCTTTAAAAGCAAGATGGTGATGACCACATTGTTAAAGACAAAGCTAGTTCACAAACCAGTGAATGACATGGATAACGCTGTGGTTACTAGGTCCACCTTTTAAAACCAGAGCGCTTTCATTGAAATGAAAACGTGAAACAAAATAAAGTATTATTTTTGTGACTGATTAATCTGTACATATTTGTTGTCAAGAGCTAACACAGCTAGCATAGCCAACAAACTGTGATAAAATGATAAAAAACAAACCCTCACATTTTTTTCCCCAGACCATCGCAATGATGCAAAAGAGAGTTGAGCAATGGATCATACCACATGAGCAGCTGGAAGCGGCCAATGTTTGCTTGATGAATAACACAGAATTAAACGATGGTCAGAATTGTTGATAATTAAATTAATTAGAGCAAATCACTTCTGCAGCAGAACAAAACAAACGCTTTCCTCCTGCTGGAGGACACGCAGGCTGCAGCTGAACAGAAGTACACTGCTTTCCTTAGTGGCTGGGCACTCGCTACCCAGTGTGTTGGCTTCCAAGAAACCTCTGGTCCCAGCCACTTCCCCTCACCTTCTCCAGAGTGGGCATTCCAATATAGATTAGCTGGAAATCTTTCCTGTTCTACTGAGGATAATCCTCCGAACAAGGCTGCTCGGCTCTCATATCAAGAATGATTTAGGCACAGCGAATTCCGGTCAGGTTGAGACTGCTTTAATGTTATGATGTGGCTGTTTCAGTTCTCCTACATACTCTGTGGAGAGAATGGGAGCTGACAGAAGAAAGGAGAGGAAAACTGAGTTCAAAGTCATCATGTGGATTTGTAACATGAATTAGGGTCACTGTTACACTACAGCTCCATCCATTTCAAAGAAAAGAGGAAGTGTGGGTGTGTGCAGAATGAAGGGTGCCTGGGAGTTAACTTAAAAGACGTTTGAGGTCTTGGCGATATTTCCACATCAGGTTTTCCTTCAGCCTCACATGCACACACACACACACACAAACACACACACATTACCCACCACATAGCAAAACATTCATCAGGACTGTGTTAGTATGAATGGGAATGACAAGAAAGCCCTTCTGGGGGTCACACAGTGGAGAGTATTTACTCCACATAATGTGATTTAAAAGTGACTGAGAGGACACTGCTGCCTTTAAGATAACAGGAAGCTTTAATTATCACCATGTCAAAACTGGGCTAAATGGGTTAGTTAGGCTGCTGTGATGTGACTGAAACAAATGAGCCGTTCGTTTTTCTCAATATATATTCAGCTCATTTCAGTCAAATTCATAAAAAGAAAGAAAGAAAGAAAGAAAGAAAGAAACCCGGGGAGGTTACCACAGGCAGTGAGCCGTCACACTTTCTCCACTCCGGGGTGGATTTCTGTAGGCAGAGGCAAGAAACGAGAAAAGTCTTCCTAACAAGATTTATAATTTTACGCCAAGGGTTCAAGCTTTTTGGCTTGTTCTACCCCCGAGTGGGATTGGTCAGCATTTCGTTCTTTAATTCATTCATGGAAACGCCACCTTATGTTCTTCCTCACAGCGAGTGTGTGTAAGAGGAGATGGGTCCAATCGGAACACAATGCGAGTTTTAGCTGTGGAGGAAAAAAATAAGAAAACACTGGCTCGTTCCAAACGAAAGTGAAAAGGACAGTAAGGGGAAGGACAGGGGTTTTTAGTGGTTTTACACTTCAGTGGTGCTGTTTGAAAGGCCTTTCAGCAACTTGGGTGGCACGGTTGTTCCTAGCATCTCCGTTAATGTATTGTCATTGGCTCCGTGCACTTGTCAGCATCATTGCTCACTTTCTCGGGACAACAATGTTGATTTTGCTTTATATAAGGCGAGGCCAGGCAGCAAGCAGCAGCTCCTCAGAGTCGTACGTGAAATCGGGCTCGTTTTGTGAGAGCTTGTGTCACCGCAGACACGTCCAAATTCCTCTGACGTGTTTATTGTTGCCTTTTATTTCACCGAGGTCATACTGCACGGCTCACCCCCCCACCCCCCCTTTTTTTTTTTGCTGCCCCTCCATGAGAAATCTTGTGTGTCGTGTAAACAGAGGACCAGAAAATAACAAGCACGAGAAAAAAGGAAAATTTCCACCCCGGCGTCCCCTCACCTCCCTCCCCTTTCAGTGTACCCACTACTTGTTGTCCTTTATTTGTAGCCTAAGTGCCTTGGCATTAAATCTTATTATTTTTTTGGTAAATAAACCAGTTTCTGGTAGGAATTACACACAACTTGGTGTGAGGTCCTTTTCAGTAAAAGGGGCCTGGATCCTTTTATCTAAAATGTTTTCTATTTCTGCTTTTGTAAGACACTTTTGAGTGCTTTGAAAGAGAGAAACCAGGTTTTTCTTGCGTTTCTGGGGGTGAGGTTGGGGATTTTTCTCAGCATTGTGGTGAGATTTATTCTAAGAGGCTGCATTTTTTCCTGATTTCCCTCTTTGTTCTCTGTAAGTAGTTCCAGGCCCCCCCTCACTCTCTCTCTCTCTCACACACACACACTCGTCTGTGTGTGCGTAAATGCGCACAAAGCTCTGTGATTTTGCACATGGGCGTACGCGTGTGCGCAGGGGAGGCACATGTGTGAATGTGTGCGCGCGAGGCTGAGGCGGGGACTCGACGTGACACCTGCTGTTGGGATGAATAGGGTCAGTGGCAGGGCCCTTCAGCAGGCAGCAGCTGCTTGTTCTCACTACAAACCCGACTCCCCGTGAGCATCAAAGCCTCGGGGACTACAACCGAGGGCCCTGACACAACACACAGTGCCCTCTACCACCATCTCCTATCATTACAGTTATTATCCTCAACTATTGCAATCCTCCCGCCCACCCCCTCTCCCAGGGTCACGATCTTAATCATTCGGAAGGAAACTTGAAATTGACCTGAGAAAAACATCAAAAAGCAAACTTCAATTTCCATTCGTGCGCTCTCTGAAAGCAGGAAGAGGTTTCCAGACAGCTGCTGACAGACAAGGATTCCTGGTATTTGGTTGGTCTGACCTGTCTGTGCTCTCTTGCTGTGTGGTAGTCTGCCCCACGTGTGACTTAGTGGGTCTGAAAAACATTCCCTGTGGCATAACAGAGGGAAAGGGGCAGAAGATAAACAGTGAGGTAGGAAAACATCAGTCTGTGCTTTAGCTGCTTCCAAAGCGAGTCCATCACGTTTATATACCATCTGTTTGGACAGGTTTTTTTTTAAATTAGAAATTAAGAAAAAAAAATAACATCGCATTAATCCATAATCACATGGTAGACTTACAAAGTACACATCCTTTGGTAGCATTTTGTTTCACTGGCATTCTTCAGAGTTCACAGTGAAGGTAGGACAAATCCAGCATCTTCCCTTATCTATCCACCAGAGGTCAGCCTTTTATTAGCAAAATCTGAAGCCTCACAAAACCGCTTTTTTTCATGAGAAAATTTACATTAAAAGGGGGTAAAAATCTATAAATTACTAGTGATGCAGACCCGATATATGAATGATTTTGCTTTGCTGTGTTGTACAAACAGGGGCGTGTGTCTGAGGTTCTGAGATGAGTCACGGCACTAAAGCCTCCTGCTGGTTATTTGGGCTCAAACATACTATTAAAGTATACACATTGCAGTCCTTTTGCAGTGCACTTGTTAAATGAAGGGTTTGTCTACTTGATACTAAACAGGCAGCCGATGGTGCTGTGAATATTTTCCAAAAAAAAAAAAAGAAAATGCAAAAAAAGTTTCCAGCTGAGCTGAAAATTCTTAACAAAAACAAACAAGTCGGCTCAAAGTGTTCCCGCCTATTTTTACAGTTGTGCGTGTGGTTTTTTTGTTGGTGATGTTGTTGTTTTTGCTTATTAAATCATTCCTTAATGTTGCATGCCCTTTTTTATTTGACCCATGTAGTTTGCAGGAAGTTGAGCTAAGATGCAGGTGGCAGGAGTCTGGTCCTTTTGCTGAGTTTGTAGTTGAAGTACATGAGAGCCTTGGACTGCGGGGCTCTCCTGGGTTGGCAGGTGCGTCCGTTGCCGAAGAATCCCTCCAAACACAGACAGGTGTAGGAACCATCGGTGTTGAAGCAACGAGCATGGCGGCTGCACCGGTGAGCCCCGGTTAAACATTCATCCTCATCTTTGGAGAAGAAGAGAAGGAAATAATAGTTTGATGGCCTCACAGCATGCGAGTATGCTAAACCTGCTTTACAGTTGTTTTATCGATCAGCGGGAAGAGAGCGAAAAGGTTTTGGGACTGACTCCTCGAAACCTGCCTAATAGATAATTTTGCAGTGTTCATCACACAGATGAAAACAAAAAAAACAGCTTGCGGGTGAGCCCACAGCTGAGTGGGTGAGCTACGAGTGCTCATCAAATAAACATGGTCTCTGGATTCTCTGCTGCCAAAGCACATCTTCACATGATCCCTCTCCTCTGCCAATTAGCGCAGATGAGGAGAACATGTGGGGATGGTGCTGTGATCCATTTAGTCATTTACGGGGCTGACATGGAACCAATTTGAAAGAGATTTTCAAAAATTCATATCACTTCTGGCTTCACTTTGGTGGGAAATGTTATATCTTCTTTGCTCTCTCGCTGTATTTCAGATTTTCTCAACCATTCAAGTCCAAGAAGACAACAAAATTCTATGAATTAGAAAAAAAACAAACACAAAATACACACACACACGCACACACATACACACGTGACAGTCTGCTCAACAACATTGCTTTTTACCTCGGCATTTAACGGAGCCCTCCAGCGCCCCCATCACAAAACCGTCTTTGCACACACAAACGAAGCTGCCAAAAGTGTTCTTGCACGTCCGCCGTGGTGGACACACATCCTGCTGACACTCGTTTACATCTGGAACACAACGCAAATAAATGTTTGACTTGCACATCACTGAAGTTTTTGTTATTTTGGGGGATACAACAGCTCAGTATACATCACTTCAGAAGACCTTACAGTGACTTACATTCATTTCCTGGAGATTTACACTAAACTCTAAATCTAATCTCACCCTAAGCCTAAACCGTGTGTTCACCTTAATGTTTGATGATGACGCCTTATTTTTTCCCCATGAAGAAGACATGACCACATATTGTGACTCTGTGAACAGAGTCCAAACCATACCATGAGTCCACACCTGGACCACACACACGCACACACACACACGCATGCACACAAACACGGCCCAGTCTTTCCAGGACAAGGTGCTTTCTTGTCTTCGCTCAAAACAGCAATTACCTTCTAAAACACACAAATGAGTACCTGGACCTCACATCATTGCTTTGAAAGGTGCGCTGTTAAAAGACAAGGAATGACCCAAACGCATACAAATTCAGGTGTGGACCATGAAGCTGTGTATGGGTTTTTGGCACACCCTGCAAGTCACTCATGAAAATATAAAATCATAAAGTTTGTGAACCAAGACCACAGATCTATGGAGCTGAACTAGTTTTTAAAGCCGACCTGTTTATGACACTTTAAGCGGGGTATAGATTGAATAAAACCTGGACATCACCAGCATTACGTCACAAGTTTGGTTTTAGATTACCAGTTTCAAATCTTCATCATTAATGTTTGGTATTTTGGAGAAGCTACCTTATATGGATGCGAGGGTAGAGTGCCTCGCAGATTCTAGATGGGACACCTCTCAATCAACACAACCACACCCCTAACTCAATTATCAAGGTAGATGAGTTGTAAAAAGAAGAAGGGAAACCATCCACAAAGGCCAAAATGATTTTGCCCCCTCTACCAGGTTGTAAATATGCTTTTCAGTGTTGAAAAATTGGGCATTTTATCATGGGAGTTTATAGGGATTAACTCATTTCTGGAGCCAGCCTCAAGTGGCCACTAAAGGAACTGCAGTTTTTGCCACTTACAAGCTGAACTTATAAATTATCTTTACTGAGGGCTTCATTGATGCATATAAGATCCTACTGAAAAAAACAGAGCATCTTCAGAAAATTATTTGAGAAGTACTAAAAGGAATTTCTAATATTTTGCACCAACCCTGAGCGATAAAGGATTTTTTTGTGTGTTATATTTGAATTATTTTAAATGTCTCTGTACCTAATAAGCTGACAACCAAATATTTCTTTCCTAGGTAATATACTTACTTTAAGGAAGAGGAGGAACACCTGCAGATTTTTTAATTATTATTTGTCATTTGTCCCAGTGTCATTTAAATAGAGCAGTATTTCAGTGAGAGAAAATCAAAAAACAGTGACTTCCCACTGCCTTTGAAGTTGACTAGCTCCCACAAAGAGTGTGTGAATGCGCCTTAACAGCTGCGAGGTTCGCTTCATTACAGGACAGGAGTCGTCAGGAGTTATCGAGAGGGACTCCAGCATTTTAGGTAATTCCCTTCATTTTAGGTTATTAAAGGCTATTTTTACCACTGGGTGGACAGATCAGTGGATGTCTGGTAACTTAGCTGCAGGTAGTTGACATAATGTGCATGCTTTCATCACACTCAACTGAGTGTGGAGGCTTTTTTTTTTTTTTTAAGCTTTGAGCAAACATTTCCTAATAGATTCATCTATGAGTTCTAATTAAGCATTTATTCAGACCTGATAGTAAGTTGATGATTATAAATCAAAGCTCTTTAGCTCTTTAGACAGACATCAGTTGGAAAATAAAAACCCACTCTCTCCCATATACGAGAATAATGTCACATTGACAACTAACAGCAACAGCAACGGCAATTTTATTTATATAGCACGTTGGATTACACATAAACTCAATGTGCTCAACATAAACGATAAAACATGACACCTTTGTGGGTTAAAGGCAATAAAAACAACAAAATAAAGAAATAAAATACTATTTAATGTTACGCACACACAGGCGCGCGCACACACACATTAACTAAGTATAGACCTGTGAGAATAAAAAGGTTTTGAGGGTTTGAATATAGACACAGTTGTAGTTAACCTAAAGTCAGCAGGCAGAAACCCCCCCAGGACCACAGCAGCTGAGAGCACCTCAGCTCACGAAAATCTGGGAATTCTGGGAATAGTTGAAAGATTTGCACAAACCATTGAGTGTTTTATGAACTAATAGAAGGGTTTTAAAGGTAAAACTATTTTGAACTTGGATCCCACAAAGTAAGCAGAGGTAATATGTTCAAATTTGCATGTACCTGTAAAGGCTGCTGCATTCTGACCAAGCTGAAGTCAACTTACTGATAATTTGGAGGAGCTTGCTAAAACCTGCTAAACATGAATGCATGGACCAATTTCTCAGTTTGAAATGAGAATTTTCTCATTTTTTGACATATTTTTAAGTGATAAAAAGCAGTCCAGGGGTCCGTTCTTCGTACCTCGCTTACTACATCCAAGATCAAATCATCGCGCCAACTTTGAGCTCGCTATTCCGGTTCTCCGAACACACCTGTTGTTGACGATTAGTACAGCTGGATGAAGTAATGTGAGATCACTGGGTGGCTTAAAAGGGGCTACGCATCGATAGT